AAGATTCGCACTATTTTCGGACAGTGGAAGGATATGGGTCTGGAGAATGCCTCCCCAGAAGTTTTGGCTCAACAGATTGCTCAACTGTGAAGCATGGTGGTTTAAGTGTGATGGTTTGGGGAGCTGTTTGGGTTGGTGGGAGATCGAGCTTAGTGGAGTGCGTTGACAACATAAATTTTGCGAAATACGTCGAAATATTGGATGAATGACTCTTGCCACTTTATTCCTCGGGTTTCGTGGACAAGAACATAACGTTGTTCCAGGAAGATGAAGCACCGTGTCACACTGCTAGAAACATCCAAAAGTGGCAGGAAGAAAATGGTATCCAGAAGTTGCCCTGGCCGAGCCAATCTCCTGACATGAACCCCATTGAAAACCTCTGGGCCATACTCGATCGGCATGTCAAGAAACAACCAAAAAAACCAACTTCGAAGAGAGATCTACTCCAAGTGTTGTAGAAAGAGTGGGCGAAAATCCCACAATCTAAAATTGACTAGATGATTCTCACGATGCCCCAAAGGATCAACGAACTCCACAAAGCAAAAGGAAGATCTACTAGATATTAATTAAATTATAAATATATCAATTCATCTGAATATGACTGAAAAATTTAATTTTTTCTGAAAAGTTGGTGTCTATTTACTTGTGACCATGCTGTGAACAGTGATATATGCACAGTTCGATTAGCCTTAGCAAGTGTCTGTTATTTTTGGTTTACCTTTAGCTCATCTTACGGGTAAGTTGACAGTTAGGTTAACTATCTTCTTTTTTCAACACATAACATCTTATACACATGTTTATTTCTCTACATACTTATTTAAATTTACATTATATTGACTATTTCTTTTTTCATAATTCGTAATAATTTATACTTCTTACAATTAATTTAATTCGTGAGGATCCCTGAGGGCTGGGGTCTGCCTTACCTTTTCCTGATATTGCTCACCTTCCGCCTATAACTGCTGAACCTGTTTAGGATGACCTAGATTTTTTCAGATTTTCCTCCACCTGATTATGGCTTGCCTTCTGCGGCCTCTATTACAGAATCTGCTAGGCCTACCTCAAATTTTTTTAGACACGTTTCACAGTATACTTTTCTCTTCGTTTTCAGACATTATATTTAATGAAGAGCATTTTTGTCTCTTTAGGAGGGTACTTGCATGCCTCACCCTCCACAGGCTATGGTTCAATTTGCTTTAGCTTACCATCATGCAGATTTTCTTCTTGATTCTACGTACTTAGATTCTCTGTCACCTGTATGGGGGCAGTCTCTGTTAATACTATCCATTTTATCCCCCACCTAGTTTTCCAGCTTTGTATTACCCTATCTACTTTCCTACAGAAAATGTCTACCTTACACCTCCATTATTAGAGGTTACACCTTTATCTAGGTGATTTTCGTGAGATACCTCTTCCTCCTTCCCTCCATGTTGGGGCATTTGCCATCTTCAGTTCTTTCCTTCTACATGTGGCTTCTTTGCTTTTGGGATCTTCTGGGGTGGGACACTGTTTTGTACCATTTGTTTAACATCCACTTCTAATAGGGACTTGCAGTTGGCTCTTTTTTTTTTTTTCAGCAGTCCATTTTTTGTGGCTACTCCTGTGCTTTTAGCATCACGTGAGGTATTTGCAATGCTATATTCTAATTTTTTTGGTGCTCTTTTGTTTAGTCATTTGCTGAGTCATTGGCATCTTTATTCATGTTCCATGTCATGCACTTTTCCGTCCTTTACCTGTACTACCTACGGGTTTCTCCATTCACCATGTATGGTCAATGCTAGTTGCAGTTTTGGTTCAATCGGTCCCGCCTCAATCACTTCTTGGTTCTTCCCCATTTTTAATATGTAGTCATTGATCACAATTGGGTGATAAATTTCTGCAGGACTGAGAATGCCCACATTACACGTTCTTATTTTTCCTTTCTCGAGATGCTATTTTAGGTTTTTTCACCATGTGATTCAGTACTAGTTTTGTGCCTTGTCTTTCACACTTGTTTCAGTTCCTTATGTCTTTTGTCTGGTGGTCTGTGCCTTACCTGACTTCTGTATTTTGGGGGATTTTACTAACACCTCTGCTTGGACATCTGGCTTCGGGTACCTAATTCTGATTGGTGGCGGTCATAACATACTCATCTCCTTTTTACACAAGTAGCTCAGTTAGTTGGATTTTCCAGTTGGATAAGTTTTCCTGTTGCCTATCTAACAGTCTCAGCTATTTGAGGAGTGTCTGTTTAAACACCCACCTCTGTTGGGACCATCCATTCTCCTTCTCGAATGCACTCGATGGATCTTTCCATTATCCACATCATTACGTTTCACTATTTTATTACTAGCAAGGTTCTAATGCATTGGGGGATGTGGCTTCTATGGAAGCACTTCTCCCTTTGGGTCTGGCAAATTTGCTATCTTTTGAGGAGATGCTGCATGACCCATGGTCTCTTGCTAGGGTTCCTTTGGATTCTCCTCTTAACTTTCCTCCTTCCCTCTTCAACTATATGCATTGGTGGTTGAACATACCATCTACATCGTTGTGTTTACCAATTTTTTTACCTTCATCCAGATTTGTTTCTCTTTCCTGATGCTCACCTGCAAAGTTGTGGGGTATGGCTCGATCAGCAGAAGGCTACAGGACATGATCTATGGATGAAAGGTCTTCCATGTAAACACCCTGGCACTTCCAATAGTCCATCATGCTTTAGTTCATTTTCTTCCTCTTGTCAAGATTTGACTAATCATGTTTCATTCTGACTATTCAATGGTTGCGGCTTATGCTACTTGCCAAGAGGGCACTCATTCTTGTTCCCTTTGTGGTAGACAGTTGATCTCCCTTCTTGAACCCATACACTTGACATGTGTCTCTTGGCTCAGTGTATAATAAGTGCCAATTTGGAAGCTTCATTGTCAATATTGTTTGCTATTTTTGGTCCATCTTCATGGCATCCATGCATAAACAAGCAAATAATATGCAGCTGCTGAATGATGATGTTAATCTGGGAACTGTTCGGCATACAATCTGGCAGCAGCTTTACATTGTTGTGACACTCTACCTATATTAGGACCATATAAAGTGTTAATCGATGTTTGGTGCTATCTTGTATAAGATAGCTTTTTATTTTAATACTTTTGACACTTCAAAGGTACAATGACCTATTTGTGCACAATTCTGGCCTGCAGATATTGATCTTCTGTGGCACAACTAAATGTATTTATGTTTCTAACTGTCATTCTTAAGAGGCTGAGTAGGTAATTTTTGGTTTAAGATGTTTCATTTTAGGAGTATGAGGCATATTATTAAAGTTTTCCAAAGATGTGACTTTGAAGATGACTTTGAATGATTTCAGTAATATTATCATAGCATCTCATTATTTATCACTGATATTTATATTTGAATTTCTGAATTATTTGCCTGTTAATAGACTTTTGAATCACCATGTATTGAAAATTTTATCTTAGTCTTATATGTACATTTATTACCATGGATGCTTACTTAAACTAATACAAACTTTTAATGGCTGGAGACGGCTTAAATGGGTAATGAAGAAAAACTTTAATATAAGTTTAACATGACAGCAAATGTACATGTCATGTTAAACTT